GCTCAAAGCCATGGCATTTAGTCATTTTGCTCAGTTTTCCTTTTGAAACTGGCTTTACTTGCCTTAAAACTCCCTTTTCTTTCCAAAGCTTTCTAACATCTTCAGGCATCAGGTCTGGGACTAAAACTGTCCAGTATCACAAATCTTGCTACACAGGCTTGCAGGCTAGGGCAGCTTCCAACAACAGATAAACTCCACAGCCCTTTGTAGCGCTGCAGTGCTGCCTCGCTGTGTAATGTGAATCACAGTTCCTGAAGCTGATGCAGACATGAGTAAGTCACATCTGCCTCCCAGCTAATTATTCCACTGGGTAGCAGGGTTTCTGCCTAATTTCACGTATTTCTACTGACAAAGTGTTGGTCTTTCAACTGCTTACACCAATACGTAATAAACCTGTAAAGATGCACACAGGTAACAGTGCTTTGAATTAGTGACTTAACTGGGGGGCAGGTGGCAGCTTGTGGGTTGAATGAGCGCAGCTGACAACTACCTAACCCTATTTACTCTTGGACAGCTTCCTGTGCCCACAGACCAAGGCTGGGGCTGCTTTCTCTAACTGCAGCCTAGCCAGTGCCTGCCCTGGACAGTGAGCCTTGTCTGTAGGTGTGTAACAAGGTGATCCTCTCACAGCAAAGAACCCTTGTCTGGACATATCATATATAAGCCCTGCATGTGGTTTTTGTTGTGAGCCATCATTCAACTGATGATGAAGAGGATTGGCGTGACTGCAGCAGGAAGAGCCGGTCAAACCCAGTGCGGAGGGTTTTGCAGTAGGTATTTGTGTTTCCATGGCTTCTCTGAGTCTCTTTCTCTTTGCCATTGCCATGCTGCTGGGGAAATGCTGCCATGGCAAGTGTTCCTGGAGCTTCTCCAGCAGTGACATTTCCCAGGTTTGCACGGCTCAGCTCCCTTTTGAGAAGATTCATGTTTATCGGTAATAAAGAAATAATTCCCAATTGTGAGGCCTGTACATTTTACCAGTATAGTATTCAATAAATATGCAGAA